AAGAAATCACCAAGTTTTACACACATCTTATGCTCATTAATTATATGACTGGTGCAAAGCCCACCGCTTTCTACTCCATTTTAAAAACCATTGTAAATGATAGCCTATACTTCCTGAGCCCAATTTCATGTGTATGGCACTGGAGTACAAAGATGGATATTGGCTGGAAAACTATCAGCGGATCGAAGAAACCGTCGGGGGTGTGGATACAGTCATAAGGATATGAATGTGTGCATTTATAAAACTGATCTGGCTGTAGTACGGATTTGTTGTTGTAAGCAGCTCAACGCGTTTTGAACGTGGTAGACACGTGATCAAGCGGCTACTAGGAGAGTAAAGTGGGTAATTTTAAGCGGCGGATGTTATGTAGCTGTGGTGGACTGGCGACCGGCCCAGGGTGTACCCCGCCTCTCGCCAGATGATGCTGGGATTGGTTCCAGCTTCCACGCGACCGAGATGGATAAAGCGGTATAGGTAATGGATGGATGGATGGATGGATGGTTCATATGTAGCAAACACATAAGAACATAAGCCTGTTTGACTCCATTCAACATTTCTCAAACAGGGAAATGCCTAGGGACTGGACTGGACTTGGTTAACCACCCCCAAATTACAAAAATCTATAACTTATGGAACTACCTCTGCTCACTGTTGCACTGCTTATTAGCACATACAACTATACCTGTACCTTATGACATCTGTACCCCCCGCCCCCCACTGTTAGCTTCCTGTGTAATTTAAATCTTATATGCCATTCTTGCGTTGTGATGTTATATGCACGTTTTTTTTAAAACTAATATTTACAATTCCATATTTTTTTATCTCATAGTTTATTGTATTTTCTATTCAATATTATCTAACATTGGTACATTTGTATCCCACTGATGTGTTTTATATCACGGAGTGTCATATTGTGTATGACTGGTATGTTCAAAATTAGAATTTGAATCATTGAATTGCAGGGAATGGACCACGTACTGTGGTCATGTGACCAAGGTAATTAAGAAATCGTGCACGTGCTGCTGGGGGCCAAAGGGAGCTATACATGGAGTGGAGTCCTTCGCTAAAAAGGGTGTCGATGCAACATTACAAGCTTGTAACGACTCCTAAAGGTGGAACACATGGTATGTTTTTTTGTTATTCATTCTACCTTCAAGCAATTAATTTATTATTCCACAGTTAACGCAAATACAATGCCCAACAGATTCATGTGCACTGACAATATGCTTATGTTTATGAAGTTTAATATTAGTTTTATCTCAGTTTTTCACACTTTCTGGAGTTGTAAAAAAACAAATACTTGTTAAATATTAGTCAGGGCGTGGTCTTGTCTGCACTAGAAGAAAACCTTTGGGAGAAGCTGCAGGGATGTTTTAGAGACATACAGCCATGAAAGTGTCTTTAACAAATGTATCTGGCTGTAGTACGGGTTTGTTGCCGTGTGCAGCTCAGTGTTTTAAGCGTGCAACATTTTAGGTGGACACGTGATCAAGCGGCTACCAGGAGACTAAACTGGGTTTTGTGCTGCGGAACAATTGTGTCTGTAATAGGGGCGTTAAAAGCAACCTGTGGAGTAATATTTGTTCAGAGGCATGTTTGTTGTTTGATGCATCCGACAATAAAAAGGAGGCAGTTGGCTGAGCCAGCTTGGTGGGGTGAGCCGATTGGACCGTGGCATTGCAGGGCTGGATCTAAGGGGTGACCATGGCACCTCCTGTTATCACCCCACATCAAAATAGTAAAAGAAATGTGCATTATTTGACCTTTCAAGTGTAACCATAGAGACATAGTGAAACATGGCCATCTCCAAAAATACAACTGGCCCCTGCTGGCTACTGTAGTCGTTTTTCTGCAGGTCCCCCCCCCCCACACACACACACCCCCATATTCAAAAAAGCAACGGTGACAGTTAAACCTGTACAAAACAAAAACTCAATGACAAAGATTAACATTTTATTACATTATGATAAAAAGACATTATTATAAACACTAGATGTTATATACACTGTGCAGAAGTGATTCGTGCAACACATCTGATAGAGGGGGACGCCGGAGAGGTACAAAAAAAAAAGGAGAGAGAGGAGCACATTATGGATGGAAACAGCCTTTTAGCAAAGAATGTTTGATCAGTGTATTTATTCTATTTAGTTTTAGAAACAAGGCAAAAATTCAACAGACAATGAAGGAGGATTAAAGGGGGGGGACATTCCATGCACTGTGCTTCTGTATCTGCTGCTCACTTGGACCTTTTGATCATACACGGGTCTCATCTGCTACCGGAAGACTCCCTCCTGTCATAGCCGCATCTGGGGAAAACCCTGCAGAGGTTCCTCACACTGGGAAAACACAGATGGCTAGACATGGAGCATAGAGCCTAACAGTTTCATTGGTCACTGCGAACATGTGCTGTTTTGATTGGACCACAGACCAAAGGCTCTTAAACCAAAGGTCTGCTGCAACATTACCTCCTGATTTTACTTTCTGACATTGCCACATGTATCCTGACTAAGACACAGAACCACATGAGGTCTTGCGGTTCTCTTCCAGGGAAAAGCCCAAGGGCCGTACCCTACGTGATCTTTGAAAATGTAGGGAAATTGCATCAGTCCAAACAAGCCTATTTAAAAATCCCAAAATAGCTGTTCTTGCATTAAAAGGCACCCTGATGTGACAAAGGGACAGATATATTCTCTTCCTATAGCTTTAACAAACTGCCTGCTGATCCCATTAAAGTTACTGCAACTCCAGGAATGTTGTAAGTCAAACAGCAAACAGTTATAAGATAGATAGAGAGATGCAAGCAGATAACCAGCAGTCCCTCTCATGGTTATCTGATAACAGGAACCTCAAAACTATGTTATTTCTGCATGATGGCGGTGAAAAACCAGATCTGCTTTAATGTATTCCCAAATCAGAGTCTAATGAGGAGTGAGAATAATTAGTAGAGATGGGGGGGGGGGGGTAATATTCAGTAAACTGGCAGGTGGTTGTGACTCTTGGAATGTCTTACTGTCTTGAATGATCAGTGGTGAAAGCACAACTGGAAACACTGGTGGCATTCTGGGTAGAGGGTAATTAGCCAAATGAAAGGGAAGGCAGTGAGACTGGAGCAAAACACTGAAAAGGAAGAGAGAAAAGTCCAGACACTCAGTCACCGTTCAGAGAAATGAACCATCAGTAACAGCACAACCTACAAACATGACGTAAGGAAACAATTACCCTGAAAGACATACTTTGAAACGAAGAACTGAGTGATTCAGTAACTAAAATACTGAAAGGATTTTGCATAGTTGAGGTTAGCAGCAAGTACAGTAGCCACACAGAACAGTGGCACGCAGTGAAATCAATATAGAAATTCACAAGAAATGGGTGCAGTCTTACCCTTTTTCAAGGCAATATATACTATATTTTATATATGGCTTACTTTCACTTAGCTTTATAACAGAAAGCAAATTGAGGAAGTTATAAGACCTTCCAGAAAAAAAGATCTTTCAAAGATTACTCCCCACCTCAAGTCAGAGCAACTTAAAATTTACATAAGGCATGCACCCAATCCACCAGCAGCTGTATACATACACATGCAGCTTACCATAGAATCCTTGAAGTGCAGAGTGGAGGCCACTGGGTTTCCACACCGAAGGGGCTGCATGGAGGAGGCAGACAGCTGGCAGGTGTATATAGCACACTCCTCATCCAGCAGGACCTCCTCCAGGGGCTGCAGCCGCCGGCGCAGGGCTGAGGCAGCGAGCCCCATGCGAGTGGGCTTCTGGAGAGTGCCATCTACAGGCAGGGGGGAGAAAACACAAATTTAGAACGGATTTATAGTTGTCAAACCACAAGGATAATACAGAAGATACCAAACTATCCCTGTTAACAGACAGTACGGTGGAAAAACTATTCCCGAGAATAGGGTTACCCTAAAACATCTAAGAACAGAACTAAAATAACGTAACTGACTTTAACCCTCTGGGGACAAGGGATCTTTCTTGTGAATCTGAGTTCATAACTCGCTGACATCTTATTGTAGAAACATGAAAACACGCTAAATCCATAATCTGTTTTTTCAAAACGTCCATTGTCAAAAGTATTAAAGTTTTTAAAATTAGGTTAAATAGGCAAAAAAGTAAACCATGTCACCTTACTTTGTTTTACCTGCTTCGGGGGCGTGTAGTACCGCTCTCACCCGAAGATCGCTATTCACATTCTAAATAGCCGCATTAGCGCGTATTCAAATCGCATTCGCATGGTAATTTGATTAACAGCGCAACGGTGAAACTATTCCCTCCCTATTTTTTGGACAAGTGTGTCATAACAGCTATATATATATTTTTTTTT